GTCTTAGAACCCGTCACTCGAATGTGTCATGTTGAGCATAGTATTTCTTTGGGTCATGAGCAATCCCCAAAGTAATCACACTGGTTGAGTGTATCAATCTTTTAACTCACACATATCAAGGAAGGTCTTCTGAAGAACGTGTACTTAGCAGATACTCGATTCCCATCTACTTCATTCGCTTAATTGACTCCATTCATGATGAAGCTGAAGTCCACTATCATTTGGGATTTACACGGAGTTTCAATCCAGGGGGAGTAGAGAGATAGAGAGATTTCTATCTTCATCTTCAGTGAACAGTGAACTGCATCTTGATGTTGCAGTGCACCTTACCCCACTGCGCTCCTACTGCGTATCCTGCTAGTTTTCCCTTCCCTTCCTTAATTCATTCTAATCCAGTTTCAAGTCTTATAGACAGCGAACTGAAGGAGTGACTGCCAAGCAGGCACAGAGTGCATAGCGCTCTTCTGTGTCTGTGGTGTCTGTCTGGTTAGCGTCACAGCGACGTGCCAGGTAGCACCAGGCTCAGCGAGGTTGCACAGTCGCCGGACAGTGCACCTGCTGGATAGTAGTTTGACTGACGTCATAGCGACGTTAGGAAGCTAGTAAACTATCCTAACTTTCTAACCCGTGTTTTAATCTCCTGCTCCCCCCGGCGCCTGCGGCGCTCTCTTGGCGCCTTCGGCGCCGCCTCCCGGCGCCTTCGGCGCCGCCCCACGGCGCCTTCGGCGCCGATTTTTTTCTTCTCTTTTTTTCTTGAAGTGTGGAAACACCAAATCGCCGCCGGATTTGCTCCGTCGACGCCCCCTAGCCGCCTTTGCATTGAATCGACACGCCTAAACGCTCCGCGACGTCCGCAACGTCCGCCATGAGCGCCCATAAACCCAACGCCGCAACGTCCACCATGAGCGCCCAGAAGACGGACCCGCTCCCCTCGCCGCCGCGCGAGCCCCACGACCGCTGGATGGAGGAGGCCTTCCCCCCGACGCCCGCGCCGCCGCCGCCGGCCGACGACGACGACGCGCAGGCGCCGACGCCGGTGACGGTCTGCGTGCGCCTGCGGCCCGCGGGCGGCGCGGACGGCGATTTGGCCTGGCGCGCGGCCGAGGACGAGCTCGTGCAGCTCGCGGGCAAGGGCGCGGGCGAGCGCTACCGCTTCGACCACGTCTGTGACGCCGACGCGCACACGACGGAGGTCTACGACCACGCCTGCCGGTCCATCGTCGGCGACCTCGTCTGCGGCCGGAGCGGCACGCTCCTCGCGTACGGCCAGACGGCGTCGGGCAAGACGCACACGATGCAGGGCTTCATGCGCCTCGCGTGCGAGCAGATCTTCGAGGCCGAGGGCGAGACGACGGTGTCCTGCGTCTACCTCGAGGTCTACAACGAGGCCGTGCGCGACCTGCTGAACCCCGAGTCGGCCGTCGCGCTCCGCGAGGAGAAGCACCGGGGCGTCTACGTCGCGGGCGCGCACCGCGTCGTCATCCGCGACCCCAACGAGCTCGACGCGCTGCTGAAGCGCGGCGAAAAGCGGCGGCGCATCGGCAAGACGCGCATGAACTCGCGGAGCTCGCGGAGCCACGCGGTGCTGCAGCTCCACGTCGCGACGGACGTCCGCGGCGTCGTCTTTTCGGCCACGCTCAGCCTCGTGGACCTCGCCGGGTCGGAGAAGCCCCGGCGGTCCCGGGCCGAGCACCCGAGCCGGAGCCAGCGCGCGAACTTCGCCGAGGGCGTCATGATCAACAAGTCGCTGACGACGCTGTCGCACGTGCTCAAGCAGCTCGGCGACGGCGAGCGCCAGGGCAGGAAAAGAGAGCGAAATTCCCAACTTCAAAGGCTCCTATCTCGGCCGTTTTCCACTCGTTTCGGCTGATTTTTGGACGAGCGATCATCTCTCGGAACGGTCTCGAAGCATGTATGCTTTTTTCGGAACGCGCGCGCGCGGAACACTCAGGTTGAAGCGAACTTGAATCTCTCTTTTCCTGCCCAGGCGAGCGCGCGCCGAGCTTCCGCAACTCCAAGCTCACGCGCCTGCTGCAGCCGACGCTGAGCGGCGGCGCGAAGCTCGCGCTCGTCTGCTGCGTCGCGCCGGGCACGGCGTGCCTCGAGGAGACGCGGACGACGCTGCAGTTCGGCCAGCGCGCGAACCGCGTCGCGCTGCGCGCGCCGCGGCCGCGGCCGCGGCCCCGCGACGACGACCAGCTGCGGGCGCTGGCCGCGCGGCTCGAGCGGGAGAACGTGCAGCTCGCGCGCGCCGTCGCGGCCAAGTCCGCGGCGCTCGCGGAGGAGCGCGCGCGCGTCGCGGCGCTCGAGGCGGCCGCGGCGGCCGCGGCGACTTCCGCGAGCCCGCCGTCGGCGAAGAAGCGGCGCGCGCGGCGCCGCCGGTCGCGGCGCACCTGGGCGCCCGGCGATGCTGCCGAGGGCGACGACGCGCCGGCATTCGCGGCGTCGGCGTCGTCGGACGCCGACGAGGCCGCGGCGGCCGCCGAGGCGCTCGCGCGCGACGCGGCCGCGTTCCGCGCGCGCGTCGACGCCGTCGTCGGCGGCGCGCGCGACGCCGTCGCCGAGAGCGTCGCCGCGTCGGCGCTCGACGCCGCCGTGCGCGAGATCTCCGCCGAGGCCGACGGCGCGATCGCCGCGGCGCGCGCGGACTCGGCCGCGCGCCGCGCGTCGTGCGCCGACGCGAAAGAAGCCGCGGCGAACTTGAAGCGCCGCGTCAAGGAGCTCCAGGCGACCGTCGAGAACCAGCGCCTCTGGATCCGCGAGAACGACGAGGCCGACGACCTCAAGCTCGAGATGCGCAAGCTCCGGAAGACGCTCGACGCGCAAAAGGCGCAACTCGCGGCCGCGCGCGAGCACGAGGCCGAGGCCGCCGACCTGCGGGCGCGGCTCGACGACGCGCGGCGCGAGTTGGCGGCGCGCGCCGCCGAGGCCGCGGCGCCGCCGTCGCCCGAGGCGCCGCCCGCGCGCCCGGCGCCCTCGCCGGCGCCGCCATCGCCCGAGGCGCCGCCCGCGCGCCCGGCGCCGTCGCCGGCGCCGCCGTCGCCGCCGTCGCCGCCGTGGCAGCTGTCGCCGCCGCCGCTCGAGGAGGCCCCGGCGCCGCCGTCGCCCGAGGCCCCGCCGTCGCCGCCGCCGCTCGAAGAGTCCGCGGCGCCGCCGTCGCCGCCGCCGCCCGAGGAGGCGGAGGAGGCCCCGGCGTCGCCCGAAGCGCCGCCGTCGCCCGCGCCGCCGCCGCCGCCGTCGCCGCCGCGGCAGCTGTCGTCGCCGGCGCCGGCCCGGTCGCCGCCGCGGTCGCCGCCGCGGTCGCCGCCGCGGTCGCCGGCGTCGCCGCCGCCGTCGGCCCGGCAGCTCTCCGCGCGCAAGCCGCCGCGGTCGCCGGCGTCGCCGCCGCCGGGCCTCGGCTTCGACGGCCAGCTCAAGTGGGTCGCGGGCTTCTACGCGGCGGGCACGGTCTGGCGGCGCCTCGGCCGGCGCCTCGCGCTCTGGCGCGTCGTCAAGGCGGCCCTCGAGGCGCGCGCGGCGGCGCCGGCGCCGCCCGCGCCGCCGGCGGCCCTGCCGAGGAGGCCGGCGCGTCGGACGACGACGACGCGAGCCTCGACGGCGGCGCGGCCCGGGCGCCGAACCGCTTCGTCGAGTTCGTGACGAAGACGTGCCCGCGGCCGGGCAACCGGACGCCCGAGGGCAGCGCCGCCTTCGAGGCGCCGCCCGCGGCGCCGCGCGAGCTCGACGACGACATGCGGCGGAACCGGGCGCGATTCCGCGACTTCGTCGCGTCGTTCTCGCCCGCGGCGCCGGGCCGCGCGCCCCTGTCGCCGCGCGCGCCCTACGAGCAGGTCGCGACGGCGAGCCCGCCGCCCGCGGCGGCGTCGAAGAAGAAGAAGAAGCGCCGCTCGCGGAAGAAGAAGGGCGGCGGCGAGAACGCGCGGCCGACGAAATCCCTGGTCCAGCGCATGGTGGACGGCGACGACGATCTCTAGTAAGTTTACCGCCGCCGCGATAGGGGGGCGACGGGCGCGCGGTCCTGGACCTCGTCGTTGAGGTCCGCGAGGCGGTCGACGTCGTTCTTCGCGGCGTCGAGGCGCGTCTCGAAGGCCGGCCGCTCCGCGGCGGGCAGGCGGCCGATGTGGCCGCTGATCTCGGCGCGGATCTCCGGCGCGCCCCAGCCCCCGGGCTTGGGCAGCGCCGCCGCGGGCGGCGGGCCCGCGGGCGGCGGCGGCTTCGGCTTGTGCCTCGGCGGCGGCCCGCGCGGCGGCGGCCCGCGCGGCGGCGGCGGCTTTGTCGGTCGGCTCCCGAGGGGCGGCGGCGGCCCGCGCGGCGGCGGCCCCGACGGTTTCGCCGGCTTCGGTTTCGGACCGGAGAGGTAGCGCTCGTCGTCGGAGCCCGAGTCGTCGGAGATGGCCACCGCGAGCCCCGCGGCCGGCGTCGCGATCTCCGCGCGCGCGAAGGGCTTGGACCGGCCCTGGCGCAGCGTCGACGACATGGCCTGGAGCTCCTCCTCCTTGCTCGCGTAGGGCTGCTTTTTCGGCGTCGGCGGCGGCCTCGCGGCCGCCGTCGCCTGGCTCTTGACCTGCTCGAGCGTCAGACCCTTCTCGACGTCGTACGCCTCCTCCTCTTTCAAGAGCTTCTTCTTCAGGCGCGCGCGCCGCCGCTCCTCGCGCGCGTCGGACTTTTCCTTCGCGTCCTTGTGCTTCGCGGGTTCGCGCGGCGTCGGCTTCTTCTTCTTGAGCGGCGGGTAGCCGCTGAGCGTCGCGCGCGCGGCGGGGCTGTCCCAGGCGTGGCGCTCCGGCACCTCGTAGCGGCCTGTCCGCGCCAGGTCCACGAACTGCTCCACGCGCATGGTGACGCCCCACCCGCTCACGGAGCTCTCCCAGCCGTGCCAGAGCGTCCACGCGAACATGAGGAAGAGCGAACTCACGAAGACGTAGAGCAGGTTCAGCTGGCCCTCCTCGTCCAGCGCCGTGCCGCTCATCGTCGACGCTGCCCCGGTCAAAACGCACCGGACATCGGGCGCCGGGCTGCCCTTCAAGCACGGACGTTGAACTAGGTATTGAAGTGGACGCGCACTCATCGATCCCGCCGTGAGGGGCGCGATGTCGCACCAAGCGCGATCGACCCCCGTGAGGCCTCCGTGAATTGGCAAACAACGATCGGGTTCCTAGCCCCGGCCCCGCTTCCGCCCGCGGCCGCGGCCGCGCCCCCGGCCGCCCTTGCCGCCGCCCTTGCGGCTCCGCTTGGGCTTGGCCTTGGGGCCCTCGCGCGCGCGCTTCTCGCGCGCGGCGCTGAGGCGCCGGAGGCCCGCGGTGATGGCGGACTTGTCGACGAGGAAGTCGTCGTAGTCGATCTTCGACCGTCCCCGCTTCCTCAGCCAGCGCACGGAGCGGAACGTGTCGGCGAAGGCCGCGAGCGGGCCCGAGACGTCGTCGACGTGGTCCGCGCCGCCGCCGTCGAACTCGTCGTCGAAGTCGTCCTCGATGTCGTCGAACTCGTAGTCGTCGACCGGCGCCGCGCGCCGCGGCGGCCGCGGCTCCGGGTCGTCGGTCGTCAGGTCGACGACGTCGTCGTCGGACTCGACGGCCTGCTGGTCCCAGGCGTCCTCGGCGTCGCGGCCCTGCGAGAAGACGCCGCAGAACTCGACCTCGTCGTCGTCGTCGTCGAAGTCGTCCTCGTCCTCGTAGAGGCCCTCGTCGAGCGCCGGCGCGCGCGGCGGCGGCGGTCCCTCGTCGTCCTCGTAGAGGCCCTCGTCGAGCGCCGGCGCGCGGCGCGGCGCCGGCGCCTCGTCCGCGCCGAAGGACGGCCGGCCGCCGCCGTCGTCGTCGTCGTCGTCGAAGAGGCCCTCGTCGTCGTCGACGATGCGCCGCCGCTTGCGCTCGGGCCGCCGCGCCGCGGGCGCGCAGTCGGCGCAGGCGAAGGGCTCGTCGTCGCGGGGCATGCGCGCGAGGCC